TATTGCCTCACAGCGCTAAGACTCATGTGCCCCATGATGTGGTCCTCCCATTCCCACTTGCCTTTCATGTGCTTCCAAAGCTTGAGCTGAGCCGCTCTGGCATGCTGCCCGTGAAATTGGAAGAGGATCTCCGTTTTCCCAGGCTTGAAATTGAGGGAGAGACCTCTGGACGCAAATGATGCTGCCACCGTGCCTGCAATCTGAGGCACACGCTCCAGCAGCTTGAGTGGTTCACCTATCATGGCAAACGCGCCGTCGTCGAAAAAGAGCACCTCTAAGGCGGGCTGCGTCTCTGCCGGTTCGTGCTCCATCATTTGTGCGAGAGAAGGTTTTGGCAGCGTTGGCACCTTAAATGCAAGATCCAAGTGCTGGAGTTGGTCCTCAGCTAGATGCATACATCCCGCCATGATAGAATTGAAAATGACATCACCCAGCTGCTGCCCCTGGACAGTCCCAATCATAGAAAAGGCGACCAAAGACGGTCCTGGATAGTGAAACCAAGCTCCTTGGTAGGAAGAGGCCACTAGGGCCTGGACATGAGGACCAACTCGAGCTGCGGTAAGACTGGTCTCCTGTGTACGTAGCCTCTCCATAAGACGCTGCATGGCCTCAGGTGGTAGGTCTGTCGTCTTGAGGAGCAAGGCTAAGTCCTCCTGTGTGTGTCCTGATCGCATGACCAGCTGACGGACAGATTTGTAGAAAGCCTGTACTACGTCGGTGAGTAGGTACATGATGGAGGTGTGCTTGATTTCGGCAATGTTTTGAAACGTGCGCATAGCCAGGCCTGCGAGATCCACCCCCCTTCCAGCAATGCCCCCAAACTGAGATTCACCAGCAGATCCTGGAAGAGCAACGGCGAGGGGAGTACGGACTAGGGACTTGTATGTTTTGCCCAGCTGCGGCGAAACCATGACGGCCCTGGAGTGTTGAGGCCACGATGGGTCCCCAGATCGTTTCCATATCTGCCAGTATGAGCCCCCCTTCCATTGTTGTGGTTCTTCAAGTCTCAAGATGGCTTTCACAACGAAGGGAAAGTAGAGTTCGGCCAGCTCGGGCCCAAAATTGGCCAACAGGCGTCCTGTGATGCCGTCGATGCTGGCTGCACTGGGCTTCGCACTAGAGCAGGCTGTCTGGAAGTCGGCGAGTGAGGGGAGTAAAACATCATCTTCTAGTATTGACCTGTCAGTATCCATCTCAAGCGGTAGGAGGATGTCGAGGATGTCCTGGGCATGCTCGAGCGGAACAATGACAGAGCATTCCTCTCTGCCAAAGTGTGAAAGCCAAATGTTGGCCGCCTGCGTCGCAGTGGTGGCCGGCTGGCCGTCCTTGCCTCTGACCACCGGCAAGGCTTGCACCACAAGTTTCTTCTTGGACCCTGCACCCATGCGTCGTAGAGTAGCAAAAGCCTTGTCTGTGGCGTTTTTGTCCCACTCAGACTGCAACAGGTCGGCTAAGCCGAAGTAATGCATCATGGCGTTCTGCTTTGACAAGCATTTGATCACATATGTGTTGTGTAGTTGGAAGAGCTCCCGAATGGCAAGAGTCTTTCCCTCCACATCCTGAATGTGCTCCCAGAGAGCATCCAGAAAATCCAAGACTGAGCCTCCCAACCCAAGGATGCTAGCAGGGTCCGAGATAGCGGAGAGTCGGTCCTCGGGCCGATGTGCAAGTCGGAGCCACTTGGCCCGTCTTCTTTTAGATTGATCAGCATTTTGCATAGCGGCAGAGGCAGCCATGGTATCCCTAAGAGCCTCCCCAAGACCGTTGAAAGCACGACGGCACCGTTCCCAAAATATGACCACCGTAGCGGGACTGGGAGGTAGGGTGGTAAGGGGCCGACCGAAAAAGTGGAGGTCATGCAGCCGTGCACTATGTGTATGTTGCGCCCACCGAAAAAAAACAATTGCACTAGCTGCCCTGGCTGCCGTGCTCCGCACCTGGCGAGCCTGCCTCAGCGTCTTTGTGCGTAGGCCGATGGCATTCATTGTATCCTTCTGAATCCAACCCTGCCGTGGCTGTCGTCCCCTATCCGTAGTCTTCACAGGGAAAGTTTCTTGCACGCATGTACGTACATGTAGATCCAGAATATTTGTATGATCCGAGCTGTGTGTAGCAAACTCAATATGAGGGGCCCTGTGAAGCAACTGTATGAAGTGTGCCCTGGCCTCGGGATCCTGGAGCAATTCGGGATCATGTGGTATACGGGGTGTGGATGTGGCCTCCTGTAGGCAACCTGAGGGAGGCAAGAGAAGCAACGCACCTACAGCCTGATGATCCTCCTGGGCGACAGTAAGATCCACCACTCCGTCTACACCCTGCTGCAAGACGGCCACGCTGTCCGATGTGGTTACATAGTCTCTGCGGCTGGACTTGCTTTTATTGGATGGTGCCGTCCAGGAGCCCGAGATACTCGAATACGAAGGGAGGAGCGTAGAGGGAGCCCATTGTTGTGTATCCAAGAGGAGCCGATGGAAATGTACTCCTGCTAAGTTCTCCGCTTCCTCATCCTGCTTGCCCACTGCGGGCGATGCAACGCTTCCTAGCGCAGCGTTGGAGTCAGCCAAGGTGATGAGATGTTCAGCACCGAGGCGGGTATTCCTCACGAGTTGTAAAGTGGTGTCCCACCACTCGGCTACCTTGACCCCTGGAGACTGCTCAGGTGATTTGGAACGTGGATGGGGGAGGGAGGAGGAGGGAGGAGGGAGGGAGGAGGGAGGGAGGGAGGGAGGAGGGAGGGAGAGAGGGGAGGAGGGGAGGAGGAGGAGGAGGAGGAGGAGGAGGAGGAGGAGGAGGAGGAGAGTGAGGAGTGAGGAGGAGAACGGGGAGGAGTGAGGAGGAGAACGAGGAGGAGAACGAGGAGGAGAACGAGGAGGAGTGAGGAGGAGGAGGAGGAGGAGGAGGAGGAGTGGAGTGGAGTGGACGCCATCACGAGGTGATCCGAGTCACTAGCCACCCGAGGCTCGTGCTGCCTGTTGAGCTCGGGTGAGCGCCTTAGGCCACAACCCTCGTGCCAACCTTCGGAGATATTCTCTTCGGGTGGGGTTAAGCAGCCCAGTGCAAGACGCTTTCAAATCTTTGGATAAGAGCTCGTTACAAAAGAAGCCACACGTTGTACAATGCCACACCCCCAAGTCACTGTGAAAAGCCATCTTGTGAGACGACCCCACCCAGCCCCCGCAAAGGTGCAAGGGTTGACCAGCGGGCAGATGCAAGACATTAGAGCTCCCAGGAACGAGATCAAAACAGGGGGTAGATCGCCACTCTGTGGCAGTGTCGACCGAGGCAGACCCCCTACAGCGCAAGCAGAAACGACCATTTGGCCCGAGGCGGTGGGACGAATGGAAAACGGACAGAGCAGCAGGAGAGGGAGGAGGAGGGAGAGGAGGCGGCAAGGGCGGCTCCACGACGTCCCCGTCCTGGGCGCCGCCGCCACCACGCCGTTCGCCCCGATGTCGAGGCTGCTGCGCCTGAGAATCCGAGCTGCAAACCTCCAGGGCGACTCTCAACAATCTGCGGCGAACGAGCAATGCATCTCTTTCGACCCGCACAACTCGGGCCCGATGGGTGCTGTCCAGCCGACATCGTTGTGCCGCGACACCTGCAAGTTCGTCGGCAACCGTGTTGCCAACAATCAGAAACCTCGGAACATTATGTTGAATAATCTGGGCTGGGGAGAGGTGGGAATCGACTTTGAGGACGGAGATGAGTGACGTGTCACGCCCCGTACTCTGGATAATAGAACGAATAGTATCCCAAGCCCCCATACTCTCCCCTGCGGGCCTCTCGTAGAACCCATTGTACCAACCATCACAAACTCCTGAAGCGTCGGTGACGTAAATCAGAGGGCCTCTGGAGTACAGGAGAGCCAACATAAGCCCTTGAAGTTCTCCGCGGGGCACTGTTTGCTTCCTACCTGGGAGAGGGCCTAAAACTCCAGCTCGGACGACTGGAGGATCGTACGATGCCAGGGTAACAGCAGCAACTCCTACGCGCCTGAAAGCTGGTTCCCGAGCATCTGGGCCTCCCGAAGCATCTCCAAAGATAATGACTGGTTCCCCGATACGTCCCTCCCCCAACGTAGTGTCGTTCAACTCTGGCGGCTCGTTGCCCCCTACAGTGACCCACTGAGGCTCGGTACTAGCTGGGGGTACGGCTGTCCAGGCGCGAGGGATGAGCCCTCGGAACCAAAAGCACGCTTCACTATCGCCGCAAGAGACTGCACGAGGAAAGGCTTTCGGAGGGCCTTCGGGGGGGGGGGGGGGCCTTCGGGGGCCTGGCAGGCCTCCCCCAGGTCGCCGCCTCCTGGCCTCTCCCCCTCCTCGTACTCTCTCGCCCCTCGCCGCGTCTCTTGCTCCTCATCCTCCTCACTCCTCCTCGTTCTCCTCCTCGTTCTCCTCCTCACTCCTCGTTCTCCTCCTCACTCCTCACTCTCCTCCTCCTCCTCCTCCTCCTCCTCCTCCTCCTCCTCCTCCTCCTCCTCCTCCTCCTCCTCCTCCTCCTCCAGTCGCCTTCCCCGGGGGTGCTGCCGGGCGTGCAGCCGTCGCCACGTTGCGTTTCGCCTGAAGTCGGGCCTGTCCCCCTACAGGAAGAGCGTCCAAGAACAGGAAAAAGCAGTCTGGGGGCGACGTGTTGGCTATCTTTTTGGCGATGTTTGAGCAATGTTTTGGCATTTTTCATGTTACGTTCAACAGCCCCCTGCAGGGGGAGACTTGCCCGACCTAAGTGTCGCCCTCTGGGGGGTCCAGCGTTGTGTGTTCACCCTTTTGTCGGGCGATCGCAAACATGGATCAAGGGTGCGTGGATTAGCGACAGGTCCCGTTTCCATGGGAAATCGCGGATTTCCATCGCCGAGCGAGGCGGCACCAGCCGCATTTGGGCGAGGGCACCTCCCCCGATCCATGGATTTGGCGACCGCGCGCCAAATCCATGGATCGCTAATCCATGTTTGCGCGTCCCCGATTTTTGGGGGGCCCAGCGTATCTTCGCTCCCTCCGTAACCATTTTGGCTCAAGCTCCGTAGCCATTTTGGCTCAAGCCATTTTGACCTAAGGTATTTACAGTGTGGCTCAAGCCGCGGTGCCGTGTCTTCTCGGATGCTGGGCATCGGCCGAGGGTCTCGAGAAGGCGTGATTTCGCTCGAAGCGTCGATCAAGAACTGCGGTCGGACAAAACAATGGAGCGTAGCACTGCGGTTGCTCCGCGAAGGACTTCGATTAGGTGTGCAACTTGTCCCAGGCCACTACATTGCGATTGCCAGCGCATGCAGAAAAGGCGGGCAATGGCAACACGCGCTTTCAGTGCTCAGTGACATGTGGAAGGCGAAGCTGGAGCCCAACGTCATCAGCTACAACGTTGGGATCAGCGCGTGCGAGAAGGGCGGGCAGTGGCAGCGGGCGCTTGCGCTGCTGAGCGAGATGTGGGAGGCGAAGCTGGATCCCGACGTCATCTATACTACAATGCAGGGACCCGCGCGTGCGAGAATGGCGATTCGGACCAAAAAGTGTAGCAGGCCCAAGACACGCCAAGAGGGCCCCAGGAGGGCCCAAGACGCGCCAAGAGGGCCTCAAGAGGCCCCCAAGACGGCCCCAGAAGGCTCCGGGACGCCACAAGATGGGCCCAAGACGCCGAAGATTGGGCCAAGACGGCCCCAGAGGCGGCCAAAATGCCCCAAGAGGCCTCCCAAGAGGCTTCCCAGCAGGGCCCCGAGCGGGAGAAATCGTCGATTTCCATTGTCTTTTTCGATGTTTCTCGCATTCTCCCCTTTTCGCCGTCCCTGCGCTCCAAGACGGCCCAAGAGGTCCCCAAGACCGCTCCAAGACCACCGACGAGGCCCGCAAGAGAGCCTCAAGACGGGCCAAGAGGACCCCCAGACGGTCCCAAGACGCCCCAAGACAGCCCAAGACGGCCCCCCAAGACGGCCCCAGAGGGCCCCGGGACGCCCCAAGATAGGCCCAAGACGCGCCAAGAGGGCCCCAAGAGGCCCCCAAGACGGCCCCAGAGGGCTCCGGGACGCCCCAAGATGGGCCCAAGACGCCGAAGATTGGGCCAAGACGGCCCCAGAGGCGGCCAAAATGCCCCAAGAGGCCTCCCAAGAGGCTTCCCAGCAGGGCCCCGAGCGGGAGAAATCGTCGATTTCCATTGTTTTTTTTTGATGTTTCTCGCATTCTCCCCTTTTCGCCGTCCCTGCGCTCCAAGACGGCCCAAAAGGTCCCCAAGACCGCTCCAAGACCACCGACGAGGCCCGCAAGAGGGCCTCCAGACGGGCCAAGAGGGCCCCCAGACAGTCCCAAGACGCCCCAAGACAGCCCAAGACGGCCCCAGAGGGCCCCGGGACGCGCCAAGATGGGCCCAAGACGCGCCAAGAGGCCCCCCAGACGGCCCCAGAGGGCTCCGGGACGCCCCAAGATGGACCCGAGAGCCATATTGGACTGTATTGGCCATTCGCGCCGCTCGGACCCCCGACATCTTGGGCAGCATTCGCCGTTCTCACCGCTCTGAACGCCATCTTGAGCCATCTTGGCCATTCGCACCGCTCGGGCGCCCCGACGAATCCACGCTCTCCTCCAGGCATCTTGCCATCACCTCGGAGCCTTCGCCTTCCAGAGCCTCGCGGGCTCAAACGGCCCAGCTGTCAGCCGCGCGTGCAACCCACCGGAGCCGTCACGACACGAAAACGTCACCATGCCATGTCAAGTGGCCCCCAAAGGGGTCTGCAAGCACTTTTTCTTAGAAAAATTGTCCGCAGGGCCCTTTGGCGCCCAGAGCGAGCCTACAGTAAGCGATAGTGGCCCTCGGAGGCCTTCTGAGAGCCATCTTGGACCGTCTTGGCCATTCGCGCCGCTCGGACCCCCGACATCTTGGGCGGCATTCGCCGTTCTCACCGCTCTGAACGCCATCTTGAGCCATCTTGGCCATTCGCACCGCTCGGGCGCCCCGTCGAATCCACGCTCTCCTCCAGGCATCTTGCCATCACCTCGGAGCCTTCGCCTTCCAGAGCCTCGCGGGCTCAAACGGCCCAGCTGTCATACATGGCCACGTCCGGTGCCCCCCCCCCAGGAGCCCGTTCCTCCGAGAATCATTCCAGAAAGATAACGTGGACGGAGTCCACGGGTCAGCCCTAGTCAGCTACAACGCTGGGATCAGCGCGTGCGAGAAGGGCGAGCAGTGGCAGCGGGCGCTTGCGCTGCTGAGCGAGATGTGGGAGGCGAAGCTGGATCCCGACGTCATCAGCTACAGCGCTGGGATCAGCGCGTGCGAGAAGGGCGAGCAGTGGCAGCCGGCGCTTGCGCTGCTGAGCGAGACGCGGGAGGCGAAGCTGGATCCCAACGTCATCAGCTACAACGCTGGGATCAGCGCGTGCGAGAAGGGCGAGCAGTGGCAGCGGGCGCTTGCGCTGCTGAGCGAGATGTGGGAGGCGAAGCTGGATCCCGACGTCATCAGCTACAGCGCTGGGATCAGCGCGTGCGAGAAGGGCGAGCAGTGGCAGCCGGCGCTTGCGCTGCTGAGCGAGATGCGGGAGGCGAAGCTGGATCCCAATGTCATCAGCTACAACGCTGGGATCAGCGCGTGCGAGAAGGGCGAGCAGTGGCAGCGGGCGCTTGCGCTGCTGAGCGAGATGCGGGAGGCGAAGCTGGAGCTCGACGTCATCAGCTACAACGTTGGGATCAGCGCGTGCGAGAAGGGCCAGCATTGGCAGCGGGCGCTTGCGCTGCTGAGCGAGACGCGGGAGGCGAAGCTGGAACCCAACGTCATCTATACTACAATGCAGCGCCCCGCGCGTGCGAGAAGGGCGATTCTGGTCAAATGGCGTAGCAGGCCCAAGACACGCCAAGAGGGCCCCAAGACGGCCCAAGAGGGCCCCGGGACGCCCCAAGATGGGCCCAAGACGCGCCAAGAGGGCCTCAAGAGGCTCCCAAGACGGCCCCAGAAGGCTCCGGGACGCCCCAAGTTGGGCCCAAGACGCCGAAGATTGGGCCAAGACGGCCCCAGAGGCGGCCAAAATGCCCCAAGAGGCCTCCCAAGAGGCTTCCCAGCAGGGCCCCGAGCGGAAGAAATCGTCGATTTCCATTGTGGTTTTTATGTTTTTCGCATTCTCCCCTTTTCGCCGTCCCTGCGCTCCAAGACGGCCCAAGAGGTCCCCAAGACCGCTCCAAGATCACCGACGAGGCCCGCAAGAGGGCCTCAAAACGGGCCAAGAGGGCCCCCAGACGATCCCAAGACGCCCCAAGACATCGTCCAAACGTGGCTCCCTGCGTGTCCACTGTGGGCCCTCCTTCACAGTCCACCGTGCGACATGTCGAGTGCCCTGGGGCAGCATCGATATCTCCCGTGGGCACGAAGCAGACGGCAGCAGCGAGCCCAGGCGGCCCTACCGCCTTCCACGACGCTTCCCGACGGCCCAAAAAGTGTCGAAATGTCCAAACAGCCTCAAAGGTTTCCAAGACAACCCAGAAGAGCTCCAGCACGGCTCCAGAGAGCCCCCAAGTACCCCCAAAGATAATCCCCAAGAGGGTCTCAAGAGCTCCCCGAGAACGCCCAAAGCGCGCTGCAAGACGCCGCCGACCCCCACAATGGCCCCCCAAAGAGCCAACGACCCCCCCAAGACGGCCCAAAGGGGGCCAAACTCGCCCAAGATGGCCCCAAGAAGCTCGGGGAGGCTTCTTGGAAGCCCGGAAGAGTGCCCGAAGAGGGTCAAGCCGACATTCATCGGACTCCGTGGTGGCAGAGCACGGGTTTGCGAGAAGGGCATCCTGTTTCCCTAGGCCTGGCCCTGGGCGGCGTTGCCTCGGCAGCTCCACTCGGGTGGGCGACGCCGTCCTCAGCGCCTCCTGGCTCGCCTCCACCTTACTCAGGCAGCGCGCGACATAGCCTCGGAGTGCCCTGAAGCGCCTCCAAGATGGACTGGTCCCCAGCCAGTCCCAGGACCCCCCCCCCCCGGGCGGTTCACTGACCTCACAGGGGGGCGGCCCCAGGATGGCCCCGGAAGGCCTTCCCCAGGGCGCACGACGTCCTTAGAGAGCCTCCACAAGCCATCAGCAGCACCCGGCAGCTGCAAGCAGAAAAAAAAACAGCAGCGGTAAGCATTACCAATTGCACGTAGCAGCGGCAGCAAGCACCAGCACGCAGTAGCATGCGCCGAGTGCGAAGTTCGAGCCCCACGCAATCATGCAGCCTTTAGGCAGCATGTCCAACATCACCTACCAGGTCGTGCAGGTTTCGTGGACGTAGTCCACGGGTCAGCCCTAGTCAGCTACAACGCTGGGATCAGCGCGTGCGAGAAGGGCGAGCAGTGGCAGCGGGCGCTTGCGCTGCTGAGCGGGATGTGGGAGGCGAAGCTGGATCCCGACGTCATCAGCTACAGCGCTGGGATCAGCGCGTGCGAGAAGGGCGAGCAGTGGCAGCCGGCGCTTGCGCTGCTGAGCGAGATGCGGGAGGCGAAGCTGGATCCCAACGTCATCAGCTACAACGCTGGGATCAGCGCGTGCGAGAAGGGCGAGCAGTGGCAGCGGGCGCTTGCGCTGCTGAGCGAGATGCGGGAGGCGAAGCTGGATCCCAACGTCATCAGCTACAACGCTGGGATCAGCGCGTGCGAGAAGGGCGAGCAGTGGCAGCTGGCGCTTGCGCTGCTGAGCGAGATGTGGGAGGCACAGCTGGAGCCCAACGTCATCTCTACTACATTGCAGGAGCACGTGCGTGCCAGAAGGGCGCAGGCCCAATGTCTCAAAACCGCCCCGTGCTGGCCCCGGGCCGCCCCGGACCGCCCAGGCAGGCCCCAGGACATGTCGAGAGGGCCCCCAGAAGCCCCCAAGACGGCCCCGGAGAGCCCCGGCACGCTTAAAGATGGGCCCAAGACGCCCGAGATTCGCCCCAGACGGCCCAAGAGGCGTCCAAGACGCTCGAAGAGGCCTCCCAAGAGGCCTCCCAAGAGGGCCCCGAGCGACAGAAATCGTCGATTTCTATTGTGTTTTTCGATGTTTTCGGCCTCCTCGCCTCTTCGGCTTCCCGACGCTCCAAGACGGCCCAAGAAGTCCCCCCGACCGCTCCAAGACGGCCGAAGAGGACCCCAAGAGAGCCCCAAGACGGGCCAGGACGGCCCCAAGACGGTCCCAAGACGCCCCAGGACGGCCCCAGGACGGCCCAGGAGGCGCCCCAGACGGCCCAAGAGGCACCCAAGACGGCCCCAGGAGCGGCCCAAGACGGCCCAAGACAGCCCAAGAGGCGCCGAGGCGGGCCTCAGACGGCCCCAAGACGGCCCAAGAGGCACCCAAGACGGCCCGAGAGGGCCCTAAGAGCCCCCCCGGGAGGCCCAAAAGAAGGCCGAAGAGGCTCCGAAACGGCCCCCACGAAGCCTTCAGTGGCTTCAGAATTCCCTCCAGGAGCGGGGGAGCGGACGAGAGGCGACAGGCATATCGCAGGCAAAAACGCCCCAAGAGATCCCCAAACGGCCCCCACGAAGCCCTAAGTGGCCTCAGAATTGCTTCCAGGAGGGGGGGAGCGGACGAGAGGCGACCGGCATATCGAAGGCACAAAAGAACAATGTTGGACGCTCCGAGGGCCTTCGATGTTTCTCTGTTGGGGAGAGTCGTCGTAGGATCGACGATTGCCGACCGAGGGCATGGAGAATCCAGCGAAAGAGGAGAAGCAGGTGGAAGAGGAGGAGGAGGAGGAGGAGGCGGAGGAGGAGGAGGGGGAGGAAGCAGCAGGACCTCCGAGCAGCAGCAGCAGCTGATTGCCTTTCGGCCCTGCAGCCGCACCCCCCCGCGCTTGCCCAGAGACCCCTCGCCACGTCGAGCTGATGTCGTGGACGGAGTCCACAGGTCTGCCCTAGTCAGCTACAACGCTGGGATCAGCGCGTGCGAGAAGGGCGAGCAGTGGCAGCTGGCGCTTGCGCTGCTGAGCGAGATGTGGGAGGCACAGCTGGAGCCCAACGTCATCTCTACTACATTGCAGGAGCACGTGCGTGCCAGAAGGGCGCAGGCTCAAATGTCTCAAAACCGCCCCGTGCTGGCCCCGGGCCGCCCCGGACCGCCCAGGCAGGCCCCAGGACATGTCGAGAGGGCCCCCAGAAGCCCCCAAGACGGCCCCGGAGAGCCCCGGCACGCTTAAAGATGGGCCCAAGACGCCCGAGATTCGCCCCAGACGGCCCAAGAGGCGTCCAAGACGCCCGAAGAGGCCTCCCAAGAGGCCTCCCAAGAGGGCCCCGAGCGACAGAAATCGTCGATTTCCATTGTGTTCTTCAATGTTTTCGGCCTCCTCGCCTCGTCGGCTTCCCGACGCTCCAAGACGGCCCAAGAAGCCCCCCCGACCGCTCCGAGACGGCCGAAGAGAACCCCAAGAGAGCCCCAAGACGGGCCAGGAGGGCCCCCAGACGGTCCCAAGACGCCCCAGGACGACCCCAGGACGGCCCAAGACGGCCCAAGAGGCACCCAAGACGACCCCCGGAGCGGCCCAAGACGGCCCACGACAGCCCAAGAGGCGCCGAGGCGGGTCTCAGACGGCCCCAAGACGGCCCAAGAGGCACCCAAGACGGCCCGAGAGGGCCCTAAGAGCCCCCCCGGGAGGCCCAAACGAAGGCCGAAGAGGCTCCGAAACGGCCCCCACGAAGCCTTCAGTGCCTTCAGAATTCCCTCCAGGAGCGGGGGAGCGGACGAGAGGCGACAGGCATATTGCAGGCAAAAACGCCCCAAGAGATCCCCAAACGGCCCCCACGAAGCCCTAAGTGGCCTCAGAATTGCTTCCAGGAGGGGGGGAGCGGACGAGAGGCGACCGGCATATCGAAGGCACAAAAGAACAATGTTGGACGCTCCGAGGGCCTTCGATGTTTCTCCGTTGGGGAGAGTCGTCGTAGGATCGACGATTGCCGACCGAGGGCAGCGAATCCAGTGGAGGCCCAAGAGGCCCCCAGGAGCCCAAAAGAGATCCCCAAGAGGTGCCACGGGGCTTAAAAACTGCTTCGAAGCGAGGGGGGCGGACGAGGGGACCGCCTCAGGAGGTTTTGGACGGTTTTGGGCCTCAAAATCGTCCGCTTTACGACGGTTTTGGAAGGATTTTGGCCTTCTCGCCTTTTCCGCTTTCCGACGCTCGAAGACGGCCCAAGAGGCCTCCAAGAGCGCCCCAGAACGGCCCAAGAGGTTTCCAAGAGCGCCCCAAGACAGCCCAAGAGGGCCCCAAGACGACCCAAGAGACGCTCAAGACGGCCCACGAGGGCCCGAAGACAGGCCCAAGAGGGGGCCAAGAGGGGGACCACGGACCGAAAATCCGAGCCTTCCGCCCCAAGAGGGCGCCAGGAGGCCCAAACAGGCCCCCAAGAGGCCCCAAGGGGCCGCCAAGAATCCCCCGAAGAGGCCCCAGGAGGCTCCCAAGGAGCCCAAACGAGGCCCCTACAGAGGCCCCAACAGCTTCCAAAATGGCCCCGAAGAGGCTTCGAGCCCGCCTCCGAGCTTCCTCGCCGCGAGGGTGCCAACACGGCCCCAGACCGGCCCAGGACGGCCCAAGGCGCGCTCAAGACGGCCCAAGACGGTTCCAAGACGGTCCCAGGAGGGTGCGCCCAGGACGGCCCAAAGACGCGCCCGTTCGGGGCCTCAAGACGGGCCAAGATGGCAAGCGAGTCCCAGCTGGCAAAAATCGTTAATTTTCCACTGTTTACTGTTACACCCTGTGCGTTTCCCGCCGTTTCGGCGGTCCGATGCACCAAGAGGCCCCAGAAAGTCCCAGGAGGGTCCGAGGAAACGCCCAGGAAGGCCCCAAGACGGGCCAAGACGGACCCAGCACAACCCAAGGCGCGCTGCGACGGCTCAAGACGGCTCCAAGACAGCCCCAAGAGGGTGCCAACACGGCCCCTGCTGGGCCCAGGACGGCCCAAGGAGGCGCACAGGAGGGGCCCAAGACGACTCCAAGGCGGCCTCCTCACGGTCCCAGACGGCTCCAAGACAGCCCCACGAGGACCCCGATGGGCCCAGGACGGCCTACGGACGCGCCCATGAGGGGCCCACGACGAACCAAGACGGCCCCATCAGGGCAAACGGCGCCCTCAAGACGGGCCTAGACGGCTCCAAGACGGCCCTTTGAGGGAGCCAACGCGGCCCCACACCCTTCGGGCGCACACTTGGGGGGGCTGGGAGCTTGCGACAAGTCTCCCACATTCATTGTCCTGCCCCATTCTGTTCGCCTGGAGGCCTCCTCCAACCCTGTGGGCGAACAAGAGGAATCCCAGCGGGACGCCAACCCTGGGGCCCGTGGGCCCCGCGCCGCTTGGGCAGAAGACGAACGCCGAGTCTGACAGGCCAGCTACCGCCCCCCTTTGCCCGATATGCTGTGCCATTCTGTTCCCCCAGGGGCCTTGGCAAACTCCTCGGGCCAAGCAGACCGGACCCTTGTGACAGCAGCCAATTGATATGACCCTGGGGCCTCTCCGCATTCTTCGGACGAGCATCTGGGGGGCCCAGGAGATTCGGACATGTCTTCCCCATTCCTTGCCCTGTCCCGTTCTGTTCGCCCGAAGGCCTCCACAGACCCTCTGGGCGAACAGAATGGGACATGGCGAACAAACCCTCCCGTTGGCGGTGATGCGACTGGATCGCACCATCAAGGCGCGCCCGGAGGTGATGGCCGACCCAACAGCGGTTTCTCTTAAGAGTTCACTGGATTTCAAATTTTCTTGAAGCTCTCTTGGGCCCTCCCTGTAGATCCTTGCGAGCCTCCCCGGCGCTTTCGGTGGCTTTCCCCGATGGCCTCCCGAGCCCTTCCCCGAGCGCTCCTGAGACGCCTCAGATGGGCTTCGACTTCGACGCACATCCCCGAGAGACTTCGAAACTGTCCTCAATAGGAGGGGGGTGAACGAGCAGTGCGCTGGGCCAAGCTGCTGAGGCGCTGCAAGAGCTCGGACACGAAGGCGCGGTCTCGCTGCTGCCGCCCGAGCCGCCGCCGTGTTTGTAGATTTTCGGTACGATCTGCGCCGTTCCTCCGAGAACCATTCCAGAAAGATGTCGTGGACGGAGTCCACGGGTCAGCCCTAGTCAGCTACAGCGCTGGGATCAGCGCGTGCGAGAAGGGCGAGCAGTGGCAGCGGGCGCTTGCGCTACTGAGCGAGATGCGGGAGGCGAAGCTGGAGCCCGACGTCATCTATACTACAATGCAGGGCCCCGCGCGTGCGAGAAGGGCGATTCTGGTCAAATGGCGTAGCAGGCCCAAGACACGCCAAGAGGGCCCCAAGAGGCCCCCAAGACGGCCCCAGAGGGCCCCGGGACGCCCCAAGATGGGCCCAAGACGCGCCAAGAGGGCCTCAAGAGGTCCCCAAGACGGCCCCAGAAGGCTCCGGGACGCCCCAAGATGGGCCCAAGACGCCGAAGATTGGGCCAAGACGGCCCCAGAGGCGGCCAAAATGCTCCAAGAGGCCTCCCAAGAGGCTTCCCAGCAGGGCCCCGAGCGGGAGAAATCGTCGATTTCCATTGTGTTTTTCGATGTGTTTCGCATTATCCCTTTTCGCCGTCTCTGCGCTCCAAGACGGCCCGAAAGGTCCCCAAGACCGCTCCAAGACCACCGACGAGGCCCGCAAGAGGGCCTCAAGACAGGC